TTTAATGTTTATTTATTTTTGACAGAGAGGATGCAAGTGGGGGAGGGGCTGAGAGAGAAGGGGACAGAGGATCGGAAGCAGCTTGTACGTTGACAGCAGAGAGCCCCACGTGTGGCTCAAGGGCAGGAACTGTGAGATCATGACCTGACCTGAAATCGGGACCTGGACACTTAACAGACTGAGCCACCCACTCACCCCGTAGTTTGTCTTTTCATTCTCTTAATGCTGTCTTTTCAAGAATAGAAGTTCTTAATTTTGATAAAGCCTAATTTATACATTTTTTTGGATTTTGCATTTGATATTGTCTAAGACCTCTTTGCCTAACTGAAAGATCTTCTCTTATGTTTTCTTCCAGAAGTTTCATAAGATTTAGGTTTTTAAAATTTAATTTAATTTTTAATTTTTACTTTTGGGGGCGGGGAGGGACAGAGGGAGAGGGAAAGAGAGGCTTAAGCAGGCTTTGCACTGAGTGTGGAGGCTCCATCCACACCCCTCATGGGGTTCGATCTCACAACCGTGAGATCATGACCTGAGCCAAAATCAAGAGTCAGATGCTTAACCAACTGAGCCACTCAGGTGCCCGAATAGTTTTAGGTTTTACATTTAGTTCTAGGATCCATTTTGAGTTAATTTTTGTATAGGATGCAAAGTATTGATTGAATTTTTTTCATGTATGTATATATCCAATTGTTCTAGTACCATCTGTTGAAAAGACCATTGTATCTTTATTGAATTCCCTTAGATAAAATGAACTAATTACTTAGAAGACACATACTACCAAAGCTCTCTCAAGAAGAAACACATGACCTGAGTAGCCCTATATCTATTAAAGAACTTGAATTTGTAGTTTAAAAACTTTTACACAAAGAACTTTTGGTCAAGATGGCTTCACTGGTGAATTTTACCAAATATTTAAGAAAGCAATAATGCAAATGATAGACAAACTCTTCCAGAAAATGTAAGAGGAAGAATACTCTCCTATTCATTCTATGGGACTGTCATTACATTGATACAAACCAAGAGAAAATATTACAAAAAAAAAAATACAGATAAATATCCATCATGCAAAAATCCTTAACAAATATAATCCCACCGTGTATAAAATGGATAATATATCATGACCAAGTGGGGTTTATTTCAGCAATGCAAGGTTGGTTTAATAGTCAATGTAATTTACCATATTTTAACCCAAACCATCTCAAAAGAAGCAGAAAAAGCATCTAACAAAAGCGAACATCCATTCCTGATAAAGACTGTCGGCTAATTAGGAATAGAAGGAAGCTTCCTCAACTTAATAAAGGGTATTTATGAAATATCTATAGCTAACATCATACTTAGTGGTAAAAGACTCAATGCTTTATTCCTAAGATCAGGAACAAGGCAAGGATGTCTCATCTCACCACTTCTATTCAATATTATACTGGAGTTTCAGTGCAATAAGTCAAGAAAAAGATAAAAGACATCCAAGTTGAAATTGGAGAAGTAAAGCTATCTTTATTTTTAGACAACGTGATTATTTACGTAGGAAGCATTATGGAATCTACAAAAAAGTTACAGATGATTCAACAAAAGAACAAATGATCGCATTTCTATATGTTAGCAATAAACAACAGGAAATTTAAAAATGTTAAACTACCATTTATCATAACATCCAAAAATATGGAATACTTAGGATAAATCTGACATAAGATGGGTAATATCTATACACAGAAAACTACAAAACACTGCTGAGTGCAATTAAAGATCTAAGTAAATGGAAAGATATACCATGTCATGGGTTGAAAGATTCAACATTGTTGTGATGTCATCTCTGCCTATGATGAAACACCCTTAAGAAATTTATTAAACTTTGTTCATCCTGCAAACCTGTGCTCACTCTCCTTCATCCCCCTTCTTCCTCATCTCAAGCATCTCCAAATTTGCCCATTCAGCATGTGAAAAGCCTTTTTAGAGTATAGATTCTCATCAGAAAGGGAAAGCCCGAGTATTTTCCCTTTTTTTTTTAGCCTTTGAGTCAAATGGGCCAGAATTAATTTTTACATCTGCAGGAAAGCAAAGAGCAGCTCTGAGATTTTATGTATGCATATGTGTATATACCTATAATTAAGCTACATACATATCTGAATAATTAAACTTCTAGGCTAAACTCTGAGATGTAAAGGACTTTCTCACTAATAAAATGTAAGCCAAACGGCTAGCAAAAGCACTGGGAATGAAAGAATTCTGAGCAAATTATAAAAGTGCTGGGGTCTCTGAGCTTTCCCTACAGCTCTCATCCTGGTTGGCTTTACTGTCCTGTCCCATTGGGTCAGGATGGCATTTCTGGCTCCATCCCACTTCCCTGGTCCCATCAGTCGAAACTGGTACGGGCTGCAGGGACCAAAGTACACCTCCAAGGCCAGCTGGGGGTCAGTCAGGAAGAGCCATGGTATGTTAGGCTTGGCTCCTATGAAGGAGCCCAGCTCGTCCATGTACGTGATGTAATCTGTCTGCAAAGTCTGGCTCTGGCCAAACCTGAGGAAAGAAAAGAACATATGGGAATGAGGGGCACAGTAAATAAAGCACGAATTTCTTATTTTCTAGCTCAGAAAATAGCATTTTAGTCGGCAGCTCCAGGATTATCCCATTCCTCCCTTTTTCCACAACAATGAGTTTATCATTTGTTCTGTGGCTATAAATGTGTCGATTCATTTTTTTTCCTCCTTCCTAACCTCTATCTAAATTTGATGTCATTTGGTCTTCTGTGGCCTGGAGTGAAAGGACCCCAGGATGCCAAGGTGACGGATCAACTTAGTTTATTCTTTAACACATGATTATTCTTTACATGACCTTGCTCGGGATCTGCTCCAGTGTTAGATTTCTGGGGCATGGCCTCATTTACTTTTAGGAACCCTGAAGAGCAGGCTTCCATTTAAGAAATGCGGTTGACTTCGGGGCTTCTCCTTTCCTGGCTTCTTATTCCTATTGGCCTGTAATATAAAGGCTGGTAAGGAGAGTGAGTTGCGTGAATGGTGAATAGGCGCGTCCACTTCGCAGAGCCGCCCTGTGAACTGGATGAAATGCAGGAGAGATTTTGTTGAGTCTGAAGCTTCCACCTCTACTCTCCTCTAGGTCCTTTGCCAGCAACTGTGTGGCAGAACTCAGTGAATGATGTGTTAGAGCTTGAAAGAAGAAAGAATCTTCTTACACAGTCACCTCTTCATTCGAATGGGATTCATTATCTAATTATTCTTCCAACAGATTTTAATATAAAATTGGAAAAGAATTGATTTATATGGAAGTAGCTAACATAAAAAATACATTTAAATACGTGATGACTAGCCATTTGAATGACTTTCTACAAATCCCATTTATGGTGTACTTGAGAACACATGTTTGGATGAATCAGAAAGGAATGTTCTTTTATTTTTTATTTTCTTTTAATTTTTTGAGAGAGAGAGAGCACAAATGGGGGAGGGACAGAGAGAGAGAGAGAGAGACAGACAGACAGACAGACAGACAGACAGAATTCAAAGCAGGATCCAGGCTCCAGTGTGTCAGTGCAGAGCCCAATGTGGGGCTCGAACCCATGAACTGTGAGATCATGACCTAAGCCAAAGTCAGACGTCCAACCGACTGAACCACCCAGGTGCCCCGAAATGAATATCTTTTTAGAAGAAAATACTAGGGCAGGTGAACTCAGTTTGGTTCTTCATTTGGTTTTCTGATTACAGTGCAGCCACTGCTCAGTTCCCAGCTAGTTAACTTGCTGGCAGACATGTGGCTGATGGGAAAGGACTTCTTGGAGACATTTGAGCTGGATAATATTTTGTTTAGGAGGCCTGTCCTCTGCATTGTGGGATGCTTTGAGGCATCCTTAGTTTCTTTCTTTTTTTTTTTTTTTAATTTTTTTTTCAACGTTTTTATTTATTTATGGGACAGAGAGAGACAGAGCATGAACGGGGGAGGGGCAGAGAGAGAGGGAGACACAGAATCGGAAACAGGCTCCAGGCTCTGAGCCATCAGCCCAGAGCCCGATGCGGGGCTCGAACTCACGGACCGCGAGATCGTGACCTGGCTGAAGTCGGACGCTCAACCGACTGCACCACCCAGGCGCCCCGAGGCATCCTTAGTTTCTACACATTAGATGCCAATAGCATGCCCTCCCCACTTGTGACAACCAAAAATGTCTCTGGACTTTGCCAAACGTTCCCTGGGGATCAAAATCACTCCCATGGGAGAAACTACTCTAGAGTGTAGTTTGTACTATCCTACAGGTGACATGTAATGACTATTATTTTCCTATCTCATACTGTTGATCATAGCAAGTGTTCCAAAAATGTGAATTTTGACTAGTAAAAATATTGTAAAATATATCAACATTTTCCTACATATAAAGGAAAATCTTATGGTTTGTTTCATTAGCAAGTACAATCTCTTACCACTTGAGTTTTTTCCCCATTTTCTCATCAATGTCATCCATCATTTCATTTGTAGTTGGCAAGGTGCATGAGTCTAGAAGAGAAATGGGGAAAGAAGTATTAAAAAATATTTTAAAAAATCAGAAATATATAATGACATATGATGATTTTTTCATAATGTTTTTTAAAATTTCTTTATTTTATTTTTTTAATGTTTTTATTTATTTTTGAGAGAGAGAGAGAGAGAGTGAGTGGGGGTGGCCAGCAGAGAGAGGGAGACACAGAATCCGAAGCAGGCTCCAGTCTCTGTCAGCACAGAGCCCGATGTGGGGCTCGAACTCACAAGCAGTGAGATCATGACCTGAGCTGAAGTCAGACACCCAACTGACTGAGCCATCCAGGCACCCCTGATTTTTTTGTAGTATTTATGAAGTGTATCCCTAAAAGATTTTATATCAAGAGGAGCTGCCTTTGGTATCTTTAGTAGAATAACAATTTATAGAAATAAAGACTTGAGAAGTCAGTGAACCCCCCTCTATGAATAGCAGGGCTGGCCTGCAGTGAGACAGTGGCAACAAAGAAGTTTGTAGCTTCAGATCACCTAATCTCATATTTCTGTGACATCCTGGAGGACCTAATCCCCAACATGCCTTAGATACACTTTATGTATATTAACATCATAACAGCTTCTTCATACTTCTTATTTGCATCCTCTTGTTAAGAATTCTTTCCAGAAGTAATCTTCACTCTAAGGTACATGCCTATTAACATGGAACAGTGGAAGGACACATGGGTTTTCCAGCATTAGCCTGCGGCCAGGAAGCATCAGAAAATTTTAGAGCTTTGCAATACGTTATCAGTGGAGGGGTCATCTGATTGCTGACTGTAGCTCTTTTTCCTTTGTCACCATGGCAGAAAGCTATTATGACATTCACAGTGCATGAATACTTCCTAGTCATTGTTAGCACCTTACCTCTCCTGGTACGGTTGTGGTCAGATGTTTGCTAGAATTTTTGTCTGCTTTGATGTTGTGTCCCAAGTGCCAAGATGGAGCCTGGCACATAGTGGTTGCTCAATAAATATTTGCTGAATGAATAAATACCATCTTTTGTTTCATATACATTTCTTGGGCTTATGAACTGTAGCCATTTTTTTTTTTTTTTTTTTTTTTTTTTTTTGTAAAACCCCAGGTACTTGGCACTGTTGTTCCTTTAAGAGGAAAACAATGGAAGTATTTTACAGAGGAACAACCTTGTAAAGGATTTCATAACAGGGATAATTCAATCATCCTTTGTGTACATTTGAAATAGAAGCTTACTTACCCACAACATTTTTAGAAAACATCCATTCTAGGATTGTAACGTTTTCTTCATTACCTGTAAATTTATTACCTAAGTTTTTACGGACAGTATGTTAGGTAAGGTATACCTATGTTGGCCAAGGTTTTCGGACCCTTGAATAAAAAGACACTTTAATAATAATCAATATGACTGAAGTAAATTAAATCTATATATTTGAGACATTGCCTTTCTCCATGTAATCCTCATGTTCTTGATTTCCTTACATAAGCATACTTGTAGACCCTAGGGTCTGGATTGGAGGGGGAGGACAAGATGGTGCATAGAGTAGGAGTGGCCTGCCATTGTTATTCTGACACAGTTTGATGCCAATCGGGTGCCCGCAACATCCACCAGGGCCCTTCTGACCTTCACAATGTATCTTGACATTGCAGTTATCCACTGCTGTCTTTCTCTTGCTTAAAGCCTTGCAAACTCCCTCCAAGAGTCCCTCCAATTTCCCTATGAGCTCTTTAACACAGCTCTTAAGGCCGTCCGTGTTCTAGTCCATCTCTCTGTTTCTTGCCACTCCCTGCCTCTGATTTATATTCCTGTACAGAACATCCTAAAACTTCCCCTATTTTAGCATCCCCCTGGCTCTATTTTAGGCTATCTAAGGTCACGGAGTGTGTCTTGTTCCCTTTAGATCCTTAGCACTTAGGACAGTACGTGGCATATAGAAGGTACTCAGTAAACGTTCACTGACTAAATGGATAAAAGACAGAATGGTCGACCTACTTGCAAACACTTTAGCAGCCCAGCGAGCCTGGAGGTCAGCTGTGGGGATGGCAGCCCCAAGGGACTGGACAAGGCCAATCACAGCCAAGGTTGGCTTCTCCATTAGTGGGGGGAAGATGCCTTTAAACAAGGTGACCTCATTGTTTCTGCTTTTGATGATGGAGTCATCAAGGAAGGGGTAGGCATAATCATAGCCTGTTGCAAAGATGATGGAGTCGATGGCCTCAAACACAGTCCCATCCTCAAACACAGCCGAGGTCTCTGTAAACTCCTTCACATTGGGCTTGATGGACACAGTGCCACACAGGATGCGGGATGGGAGCTCATCGTTGAACACGGGCTCTTTTCGCAGGGAACTGTTCAGAGACAAGAGACAGACTTTTGCTGTAATGCACCAATTCCAAGAAATATCTGCAACAGTCCACAGCACTGGAACCAGATTTGAGGAGCTAAACATTAGCATGAGGACCTCTGAACTCTTCTCTTGTGGCAACTTTGTTTTTACTATTGCCTGCAACAATCCTTAAGAATTCTGTCTGAGCTGCCTCTTTGGGTCCTTTGAAACTTGAAGATTCCCTTATGGGTACTTATACTATTTGGAGATTGGCCAAATAGATGACAATCAAACTAATTCCTAGACATAATCAGTGGTTAAGAATGCAGACTCTGGGAGACACCTGGGTGGTTCAGTCAGTTAAGTGTCTGACTTCGGCTCAGGTCATGATCTCATGGTTCATGAGTTTGAGCCCTGTGTCGGGCTGCGTGCTGACAGCTTGCTTGGAGCCTGGAGCCTGCTTTGGATTCTGTGTCTCCCTCTCTCTCTTTGTTCTTCCTCCGCTTGCACTCACTCTCTCTCTCTTTCAAAAATGAATAAAGATAAAAAAAATAATAGAAAGGTTTATAATCAATCTCCATCTCTCACTAGTGACTACTCTGTATTTGTTTCCTTATGTGTAAAATGGGGATAGCGATAGAATCTACCTCATACGGTTAGAACTAAACGAACAATTACCCATAAAGCACTT